AAACTAACGTCAACACATCTGCTTGTTGACACACGGTAAATAATGTTTTAAAATTCTCCGACTCGCGTTACCATTAGTCGTGCGTGAGTGATGTTCCAGGTCATAGTGGTCATGGTCCTTTTTTGGGGGTCCACAATGGAGTCTTCAATGATGTACGCCGAGCTGGACATGTGCTTTGGCAGGTAGCGCTCCATCCAGGCAGGCGCTCGGCTGAATTTGGTCAAAAGACGCCTTGAAATCAGGCAGTTGGTCGGAGTGACCTCCCGGAAAATTATGTCCTCAGTCAAAACATGGTTACTGTAATGACGAAGGAGACAATATAACTTCAAACAATGTTCCTCTGTAAGGATGGAACCTGTGATGATGATTCAAAATATCTGTATATCTATTAGTACTGCACTGTTTTGAGAACTAGATAAGGACACTTTGGATTAAAGAAGCTTTTTGAGAGATTACAGATTTAGAAAAAAATGTAGAGTAGTATAAAAAAATAAAGGCTCATTAATTTTCTGGTCAGAAAACTTAATTGGACTCACCTGTAAGGATTGGGATATCGTTGCCAGAAGGCAATGCAGACTTGGTCCCAGGTGGTCTTGAGTAAATCAGCGCCGCTGAAATATTTTACCATTGTTCCTTCCGTTTACTATGGCAGGCAGCAGCCTGTATACACACACACACACACACAAACAGCAAAGATTACACACATGCACCTGCAACAAGTTAATGTCTTACTACTGATGTGTGGACAGTTCAGTTTTACTGAAGGTCAAAGCAGCATTTCCATCGGCAAACACAACGTTTTAGATTAGACCAGATTAGATTAGATTAAACACAAGTCACAAGTGCAAGGAAATGATACGCAGTTTCATCCTTTGACCAGAGGTGGTACAGACCACTACACATGAAACCATCATAACAAGACAAGGAATAACTATTTACATGAGTTTTGAATAAGTGCAGTATGTTGTAGACAGCAGACATGTATGTATAATATATTTGTATATACATATAAAAATAAAATATACAAGGTACAAAAACAGAATGAAACTATATATATATATATATACGTAAATACTATACTATATGTAAATACATACATATATATAAATATACGCAGGGATCATGAACTACATGTGTCAACCATTAATTAGCTCCTGTCTACGAAGTAGGATATAGGATCAGATATATAGAGATAAATCTAAAAGAAATCTAGAAATTTTTAATTAGATTTAGAAATCTAAAAGGATAAGGACAACTTTATCGTCTAGTTTTTTGCCAAGAGACCTCCGCATTGCCGCAGCAGTACTGACAATTATTCGTTGAAAACGATTTTTAAAAAAAATCCTAGAACGTACAAAATTATGTATAATAACTCACGCAGCAAAAAAAAAACTCTGACTCCCCGCAAATGACATCGTATATTACCCGAAGAGTTGAATCTAGGTCAAAGTTGACAAATAGAGAGGAGCGCGTTTTCAGGAAGTTTCCAGGAAGAACCACCACGACAGCTGTCAAAATACATATAAACGTCCCACACACGACGCACATTATGTCTTGACGTTCATCAGAACAGGATACTTGGGATCGTGTAGTTTTTAGGTGTATCAAATACCGTCTATCTTTACATATTTCGATATGAGTCACGTTTGTCACGTCCGCTCCGTGTAGCTTAGCACGAGCCGCTAGGCTAGCATTTAGCAGTCGAGATGAATGAATGGCAATCCGACAAATCCAAGGAAAAATAACATTAAAGCAAACCGGGTGAGAGGCAGAGAAAGTCGCTTACCTGTCAGTCGATACAATTCAAGAGATGACAACCAGCATTTCACAGTCGCGAAGGGGAAAACTTCAGTGTTCTACCCCCACAAATCATGTCAACTGAGGACGGCGGCTGGGACTGGAGGAAGGTCAAGATGCACGTCACTTCCCTTTAGTGATTCATCTGCAAAATAATCTGCCACCACTAGAGGTCACCAGATGAGTATAAATAATAACTGCTTTTAGTCTGATATTATTAATTTATTTTTTAAGTATTTAAAATAGGATAAAAATAAATAAATAATTAATATTAATATAAGTAAAATACGATGATAAATTATTTATTTTAGAGATTATAATTATTGAGATTGTTAGACACTGGTTTTAAATTAGCTTTCATTTGTCGCGTCAATCACAGAAAGGGAGCTCTGAATTGAAACGTACCAGACAGAAGTACCTAAGGCAGACAAAAGTGTGCTCAGGATAACATATAAAAATGTTATTTTTAATGGAAGAATATAATTTGGTTAGATCATAAAGACGTTGCCTATAGCGATGGTAGGGAGAGACTGAAATATAGAGACGGGATGGCAATGCTGGAGTTGTAGTCTAGTGCCTCTGGAACTGGAAACCAAGTGATAGTAGAAGGAAATACGAAGAAAATAACATCGTAAAAAATAGCAGAAAATATCTCTTTACTTTGTTTGTTTGTTTTACCCGCCTGCTGTTTTCGCAATAACCTTCGTTTTTAGGTTGAAATGATCCATCTGTTCTCCACACAACAGATTGATAATTTATTCTAAACAGCTATATTCAACCCTGGAAACATCTCAAATCTGAAGCAAAATCATTTCCCATTAAGCTCGAATTCCCCTGTGGTACTAAAGGCCACAGGTCTAAACTTGACGTTTATCCTCCAGGAGTTCCATCCGTGCAGTCGATAATGTAGATGTCATCAGGAGGCAGCGGGAAAACAGAACCACGAGACATGGAGCGCATTATTTTTGAACAAAGCCCTCTGGTGTTCAATCAAAGTAATGCATGGAATTTAAAGTTTGTTTATCTGTTACTTTAGACAACAAAAATACAATTAGTCGTGTTGATTGTTTATACTGAATTAGTATAAATATTATATAATACAGTGCAGATAGTGAGTATGCCCCTCCCAATCTTGTACCACCAATTTAGGCAGTTAAATAAGGAAACAAATACATTATTTCTTGATTGAAAAAATTCCACTCAAGACTGTAATTACAAAATTGTTAATATTTAGTCATGGGCCGGATATAGGCAGTTCATGGGTGAGAAGTGGCCCCCGGGCCAGAGGTTTGAAACCCCTTCTTTAAATTGACTGTAGTTGATGAATGTGAGGGTTTAGTTGTTTTTCTGTACGTGTGGCCCTGTGATGGACTAGTGTACTGTCCAGGATGTAGCCTGTCCTCACTCAGTGTCTGCTGGGACTGACCCCAGCTACCCTCCCTTCCTCTGTGACCCTGAAAAGAATTGAGCGATAAAAGATGAATGAATGAATGACTGTACCACAGGACGTGGCCTGTGTCGCCCACTAACATGTCAAATATTAACACCAGTCACCACTTCTCCTCAGCCTTAACTAAATACTCATGTTTCCTTTATTAAAAACAAAACAAAAAACACTTTAACAACAGTACGACACATTTGATTGCCTCCTAAAATCCCTCCACACATTTCTCCTGCATGTCGTGGAGGTGGGCGTCCTCATTTTCTAACGCCGGCATCACAAACTTTTCGTCCTCAACTCACACGGTTCACTGGTTTTCAATCCCATTCCTCTGGACACTGCGTCCTGCTGGTTCATCTAATCACGGACACCGTGGTTGCTAAGTGAACACAATTGAAGTCCTGGTGGGTCAGAAATTCAGCAGTAGCCGCCTCCAAAATACCTGGAATGAACGCTGATTAAACGTCATCCAAAAGATTCGACCCATTAACAACAAAAAAAAAACAAACAAAACAACAACAACAAAAACAAACAACTCACAGTTACAGTGTTTTTCACCACCTTCAGTGTGTGGACACATCAAAAAGCTTCAGAAAATCAACACGTGCAGCTGAGGGTGGAATTAACTGGACATCACTTATCTTAACATCACACACAAATACAAAGCTTTATACTTTAGATCGTTGTAAACATTTTCAACATCTTTATGAATTCTTTAGACAAAAGTATTTCACTGGCGTCATTCACAAAGTAAAGAACAGCCCGGTATTATGCCGGTGGTTTCCAAAGAGGGGGGCGCGGAACTACTGCAGGAGAAGCAAAGCAGGCTTTCTATATTAACTGTGCCCAAGTGGTAAAGCTGCACTGATATGTGAGTTTTCCTTTTTTCTTTTTCTTTGTTTACCAAGAACAGCACAGTTTTTTATTAAAGTTCAGTGATTGAAGATTTGAAGCAGCGTCTGTGAATGTGTCGCCTTTATGGGGCTCGGAAATAGTTCAGTTTTCAAAGGCGGAGGGGGAGATGTGTGTGTGTGTGTGTGGGGGGGTACCACTGGAGTACCACTGCATTGTGCCATGTACATGCAAAGCTTGTAGCCCTCTTCAGTGAGCAGGACGCACAAGAGTGAAACATTTCAGTCAAAAGGTGCTTCTTTTGAACCGCAGTCAGCACAAAACCGAGCTGTGCTCCGATCATATTGTACAGGATTTGTGAATAAACACTGGTTGTTTCAAACAGCAGTCGGGGGCTGGCCCCCGTTCCGACCGTTCAGAGTCAGCCTTTTCATGGAACGTGTCCGGAATGAGCCCTCGGGATGGAAAGAATCTGGCTTGTCCTCACAGCGGAACACCATCAGAAAGCCGTTGCGGTAGTTTTTATTCATCCATCCATAGAGAAGAGGGTTGGTAAACGTGGAACACATTGCCACAATGTGAAACAGCGTGTATATCAGTTTGTATTCCTTGAACATCAGCACGAGATCCAAATCACTGGCCAGCTGGAAGACGTGGAAGGGCAGCCAGCAGATGGCAAACACCACCACGACCAGAGCCAGCATCTTGGTGGTCTTTTTGCGGCGGTTGATGCTGTCGCTGCGACTGGATGGACTGATGTGGTTCTTCAGTTTGACCCAGATGCAGATGTAGGCGTAGCTAATGACGGCGAGGGGAATGATGTACTGCAGGAGCAGCATTGACAGGCTGTAAATGACTCCATCCCTGCTGGTCCCGTGGGGCCACTTCTCAGAGCAGACAGAAATCCGCAGGTTGATGGACGGTATCTCCTCGTTACGGTACTCTCTGAAGATGGCCAGCGGTGCCGCCAGGATGGCTGACAAAGTCCAGGTGAAGGCCATGATGAGGAAGCTGGAACACCACGTGAGCCGTCGGCCCAGGTGGAAGATGATACAGCGATACCGCTCCAGAGCGATGACGGTCATGGTGAAGATGGACACGTGGACGCTGAGGGCCTGGGCGAAGGGCACCATGTGGCACAGGACGGGTCCAAATTTCCAATCGTCTAGCAGAGTGTAGACCAGAGTGAAGGGCAGGCACAGAGTGTCCACCAGGAGGTCGGCCAGAGCCAGGTTGGCGATGAAGAAGTTGGTCACCGTTCTCATGTTTCTGTAGCGAATAATCATGTAGATAACAAGAGCATTTCCCAGCAGCCCCAGCAGAATGATGAGTGAGTACGCTGTTATCAGGGTGATCTGGACTCCGATGTGCTTGGTGATGTCAGTGTGGAAACCAGGTGGGTGGAAACCCTGGCTGTCGTTGAACAGCAAGGGATTGGTTTCACCAGCCTCCCCGTCGTCCTCGGTGCCGTTTGATGAATCTGGTGGGCTCATTTTCTCAAAAGATGGCGAATTATCAGCCCGCTTTCTCCTGAGATAAACACACACATTAGACAATCAGTATGTGGCCTTAGACACGACTATTATTCTGTTAGGATGCACCAAGGAAAAAGAAAAGTGATTCATAGTAGGAGAATGTTTCTCCCTCTTTTCTCGTCACTGTTACTGTCCATCATCATCTTCCGCCCACATCTTAATTTGTAGGTTGGCCATAAGAAGTCTGCCCACTCATGTAAATGCAAAAGTGTCTACGAAATATTACATATCTGAAAGTTTTGTCTTCGTGGCGGAAATTGCAGAATTAATTAAGAAAAAAAGGAAAAAGAATAAAAAATATGACAAAAACAAGCCAAATAACTTTTATTGCAGCGAATAAAAAATATGAAACAAGCCAAATAACTTTTATTGCAGCTGTGGTCACGTTAAAAGCGATTTCACATCAGCCATTAAATGATGTGGCCCAGATGGGTTCTTCACACATTTCACCCCATGATAAAGCGGTCTAATGACATGACGAAGTCAACAAAAGAACTCATGGAGGAGAAAATTAGAGAGTTTTTAGTCTGGCCCAGTATTTGGAGCACTTAACTCAAGTTGGGTCATACTTGACCCGACTCTTATTGTGAAAGATTTAATATAAAAAATGATACTTTGAAAAAGACTCTTATTGTGAAAGATTGACAGCTTTAATATAAAAAATGATACTTTGAAAATGTTAAACATGTAGAAGTGTGTGAATCTCTGCAATGATTTTCTAAAAGGGTTTTTTAAAATGTGTTTCCAAGTAAAATGTAGATAAAAGTTATCATTGAAGTAGGGCTGTATCAAAAATGTCTGATCTGATTAATCACAATTTATTGAGAAAATCACATATTTCTAAATGATAGTGACGATAAATAGATGTTTATTTGAACACAAAATAAAAGAAGAACAAAATAAAAACAGCATTGAAACTTAAGGTGCTTTAGTGAAACTTTTTCTTTTTTTCCCCACAGGGTGTATAATTGACAACAATATGTAATAATAATAATAATACATTTTAATGACAACAATATGTAGGCTATTGACTGTGAATATGGGCAACAATAAATGAATACTTGGTAGAATGACTGCATAAATGTGTCACATTAAATTAAAGTAAAATGTACAATTAGATTAGATTTAACAAGTTAATTGTCAATATGTTCTTTGTGACAGGCTATATTAAAAAAGATAAAAGTCCTTCTATAAATGTATGAGGGTATTTCACAGGGAATCATTCAGGGACATTATTCAATCAAAGACAACTGGTTCCATTTGCATATTAATACCTTATTTGTGAAAAAAAAAATTAGCCCTGTCTGGTGGATAGCATAACATACTGTTCCATGATTAACTTTATAATACCTCCAATCCTTCATCGCCATTTAAAAAGGTTGATGAAGATTTTTTTTTTCTTTCTTAACGAGTTAAGATTGTAGCTTCATTTATCCTCGGGGTCTAATCCCTCTCATCAGTGCTGAGAAAGCTTGGAGCTAAAAAGCAGCTTGTAATGAGAAATGACAAAGAACACGGTGTACACAACTGACCCATTATTTATATATCACAGGGGGACGGATGATTGGCTTCGGACAGGCTGCACTGTTATTAAAAGCTTGTAGTAATTAAGTTGAGCACAATGAGACTGTGCAATATAGAAGATAAGAGAGGGGTCTAATTTTCTGCTGCTTAATTATTACACTAACTGCACCAGATTGCACAGGGAAAAGAGGACGCTCTGAGGAAAATGGTTTATCGGTTTCAACAAGATGGAAAACTAATGGGGAACACGGGGTTCTTTTGTAAGGAGCCATATTTTTCCCAACAATCAATCTGTGAAAATGCCATGTTCTCGGCTTATTAAGCATTCAACACAGCTACCTCTCAGGCCTCGGCTTCATACCTGCGACTTGAATGAAGTCTAAATGACGGTGATGGAGAAAAGCTTGAGTCAGAGCGTTCAAAGCCACATCATTAGAGCCGCGGCTGCAGCCTGTGATTCCTTAATGAAATATTGTGTGGCAGCGCTGATTTCACACGCACACACACACAGAGGGCCGTCGGCCCATGTTTCACATTCACATGTCTGATATATTGTAGCATATATTTCTATTCAGTTTGGTTTTCTGTTCATTATCTGGTCAGAAGGCTCGGAGACCTGGGGGAAACATGCAGAGTATTTTGTCACTCTTCCTTCGATCTTAAAGAATGTGTTGATTCAAATGGTCATGACGCAGGTGAGGCCATGTTAGTCACCGCTGACAACCACACAGCAACACGGTGGTGGAGCGGTTAGATCACCTGCTCACTGATTCAATCCCTGCCTTTTCTGAGTTTCTCCATTGTCTAGTTTCAATGTAAGCTGTTGTCAAAGGGTTGCAGGTTCAAATCCTTCCAAAAATTCTACTGCCCAGAAATGAGTGATGGGTTAAATACGAAGGACAAGTTTTTTTTTTTATGATAATAATTCGGCTGAAAATTCCAATTATTGTCGTGAATGTCGATGTTGTCGATGTTTGTTTGTGATTGACAGGTGAACTGTCCGGGGTCAACCCCTCCCTCTGCCCTCTCTAACTCTGAGGGGGAAAAGATGAAGCAATTACAGTAAAGTACAGGTTTAAGTAATACTATAAATATGAGAAGAGCGTTGATTGTACCATTAGTTTTAATTAATTCATTTTTAATTCGTTTGGTGAAGTAGAGTAGCCGCATATAGACTCACGTCGTATAAATTCATTTGAAATGTGTTGTACTGCAAAAACATTTGCTCGATCAATAAATATCAATTAATTCAATTTGTCTCAGTGTCAAATTACGTCAGGTCTCAAAGGACATAAAGACCCTATGTCTCTCTCTCTCTCTCACCCTCAGAACACCACCCAGTCGATGTTAACATCTCTAACCTGCTCTCTGCAGCTACAGTCCAAGGACACTGCAGTGAGGTCCATGGATTTGGAACCAAAAATGCTGTACCAGTTCTTGGAGCCAAAGAGTTACTTTAACCAACGGTACCGACAACAGTACTGACAACTCACACTCTGTTGGTTCTGCCTCATTAGGCAGTCCTTCTGTAATTAGGAGTACTGGACCAAAAAGTGTCATCACTTTTTAGAAACGGTCCCAGTGCTCTCTCCATATATTTTCACACATTCATCTCTCTCTCTCTCTCTCATTTTATCCCTTTTTCTTAATCATCCTCTCTCTTTCGATCTCCCCCTCTTTATCATCCTCACTCTCTCTCCACTCCTCTCTCTAACACACTTTTCCTCTCCCTCTCTTTCCCAACACGGTCATTCTTTCTCTCTTTTTTCTCCCCCCTCTCATTTCTTCCCCCTTTCTCTCCCCTTTCTTTGTCACACACGCATTCTCTCTCTCTCTCTCTCCCTCCTTTATCTCCCTCTTCCTCAAACAAACACACACATACAATTATCTCCCTCTTTTCTATCACATCTGTCTTCTCTCTCTCTCTCTCTCACACACACACACATACTTTCCCCATCCCCTCTCAAACGCACTTTCTCTCCGTTTCCTCTCTCTCTCTCCACTCTCTCACACACTCATTATCTCATTTTCTTTCTCTCCCCCTCTCTCTCTCTCTCTGCCCCCCCTCCTCCTCCCCACATTCAAATGTTCATGTGCCAACAGCCCAAACACTCTCATGCATGTTCTTCCTTTGCTTGTCCCCGCTGTCACACGCAGCACGGATCTGTGACATAAACACTTTCCACCGCATCAGTCAGAGCTTCTGCTCCTCGTCACCGACACTGACTTCAGCCACGGAAGAGTTTCTTATTCACACTTTTCATGAAACGTTCAAAGATGAAACGTCACAACTTGAATCGCGACCCTATATGCGTAATTTGTCATCATTTGTTTAAGTTGGCCAACAGGAGGCACTCTGTCAACCTGACAGCTGACTGATGTTCACACTTTAATCTCCTTTTCCAATGCATCCCCCACCCCCCCCCCCCCCCCCCCAGCAGGTTCTTCAGAGACAGATTAGGAGCCAATTTGAGCAGCAGATTAACTGGAAATGTGTGACACCTGGGAAAATTACCTCCGAGGGCACAGGCCCCTCAGGAGGGCAGGAACTCAAAGAACACAAACAAAGGGTACATGTACTGTAAATCAGAGGAGAGGAGGTGGGGTGGGGGCCGGGGGTAATTCCAGAGGACAGGTTCAGCCCATTCTGGAGACTTAATTCTCATCGATGTGTCACACAGGGAGAACTGTGTTAGAAGGTTCGGTATTTACAAGACAGAACGAGTTACGCCTGCTAAAGGAACCACAACTGCAAATTTATTCATCGTTTTATTCCAATTATGGCAAATCTGAACTGGAACTAGGAAATGTCTTAGTCAGACATACTTTCAGAGAGTCATACTTCAGAAACAAATGCAGTTTGAACTTCGGTACCACTGCTAGCCAGCAGGTGTGCGCTCTAAACACTTACTCATATTTGAAAATGATCAACTTTTCCCATTAAATATCCTGTCAACTTATTTAAGCCATATCTGGAAAATGTTTTGTACTTCATTATGTATTGCAGCAAAAACCTAGCCTGCAGAGCATGGATACCAGTAGTTTACTATGCAATCACTTTACTAAAATGTTGGAGGTACATTTTTGGCCAATGCAACAGATAGTTAACCCATAGAATGTGTTTAATTTGGTGTTATCCCATGTCTTTAATTTCTTTTCGGCTTCTTCCTTTCACACTATCTTTGTGTTTTAACAAAATAAGTAAAAGTAAAGCTCTGCCATGAGATAACCTGTCCTCCTCCCTTCAGGACTGCTATTCAATTACCACGCTCAGATAAATATCAGTGTGTTCCCTCTAAGAGAGGCCAGTAACAAACACACTTCAGGCTACATTGACCGCCTATCGATGAATCCCTAATTCTACCTGCTGGACTTGTCTAATCAGCTGTAAAGTGGAAACTGCAAAGATAAGATTTTGCTTCAAGTGATTCATCAATTAGTCAAAGCAGTGTTACGTATTTAACCAGCTTT